CTGCTTTTCCGCCAAGGCAGGAAGGGGGCCGAGCACGGTCCCATCTGAGGTTTCCTTCTCTGTCTCTTCCTGCGTCGATTCTTTCCAAGGGAGAGCGGAATCGGAACCAGGGTTTTGAACGGGAGGGGCGTTCGCGTTGTCTCCTGCGGAGGGTGCCTCTGAGAACGTGCAGAGTTCCTGCGAGCAGAGCCGGCTGCGCGTGTGTTGTGGGCCCCTGGGTGTGTCTTCAGCGCGGCGTGTCTTCGTTTCTTATTTCTTATTTCACTGACTCCTGCAGAAGACAGTTATAGAACCACAGAGTTGACAGGGTCCACACAGGCCATCTAGTCCACCCCCCTGCTCTGCTTTGCTCTGTTGCTTCAGACAGCGTTCCGTGCACCTTCACCTTGATGTTTAGTCATGCTGGCCACATGACCACGGAAACGTCTTCGGACAGTGCTGGCTCTTCGGCTTTGAAACGGAGATGAGCACCGCAACCCTAGAGTCGGACTCGACTGGCTTTCGAGCAAGGGAACCTTTACCTAAGAGTTAAATAATTTCTTTTAAGGTGCCATAAGACTGTTATTTTGGCTCTATAAGAATAACACAGCCATCCTTCTGGCAACTCTGTTCAAACTTTCCTCATTCTTCATAAAAGACAAGGTAAGATTGGATGGGTTTTGCACCTAATATGAGAGGAAGGTAAACTTTGTGACTCCGTCCTGACTCTGTACTGTTTGGTTTTTGGTGTAGCAGTAACACACGTACACAACACTGAAGCCACACACTGCAGCTTCCTTCATGCATTACACATTTCCTACACAGAAAACACTTCCATGTAGAGGTATATGACATCAGTGTGCAAATTATCAATACCCAGATTAACTGCTGGGCTGACAAGGCAAAAAGCTGCCCTATTCAGTTGCTAACTTGCTGTCTCTTATAAATGGTGCTGCCATGTACAACCATTGCAAAGTAGCCTCATGTTGTTAGCTAGCATATCAAAGCAGCTGTGAGGGTTACAGATCTCTAGGGTGCAAACTAAGCAAGTGTTGTTTTGTACAGATAGCAACCCAGTTTAAATGAAAAAAATGTGTACAGGTGAGGAGAGTCCCACAGCCCAGGGGATTGTTTTTGTCTCCCTAAAAAGGTAAAGGTTCCCTTGCTCGAAAGCCAGTCGAGTCCGACTCTAGGGTTGCGGTGCTCATCTCCGTTTCAAAGCCGAAGAGCCAGCGCTGTCCGAAGACATTTCCATGGTCATGTGGCCAGCATGACTAAACATCAAGGTGAAGGTGCACGGAACGCTGTTACCTTCCCACCAAAGTGGTACCTATTTATCTACTTGCAATTTCTTGCTTTCGAACTGCTAGGTTGGCAGGAGTTTGTCTCCCTAGAACTATGTTTAAATTGGCCCAATTCCTGAGCAATGTGAGGGTGTCATTTTACTGACTGGGCTCCTGTATATGGCAGCTGTGTGACAGGAACCTCTTCTTCATGGCATCTATTCAGGGTTAACTGTGAATTGCTAATAATTAAAGGATGGCAGTGTGGTTTACTGGTTAGATCAGTCTAGGTATATGGGAGACCCAGGTTTGACTCTCCACTCGGCCACAGGAACTCCCTGGGTGATGTTGGGCCAGTCCCTCTCTCAACCCAACTTAGCTCAGGATTGTCATGAAGGTAAAAATGGAAGGAGCAGAGAAAGATGTGAGCCTCTTTGGGAACTCATTGTGGAGAAGTAGGGTATAAATATCTAAATAAATAAAAGATAAGAAAGTTAAAAATGAACTTTTAATTCTCAAGAACTGTATGTTGCTGACATAGTTTCCATTCAGTTCTGTAATTGTAAGTAAAAGCACATAACTAGTCCACATGTCATAAAATTTTATGAGAAGGAAGATTGTTTGGATGACACTAATAACTCTACAAGCATGTAATCTGTCAAGTTTCTAGCTAAACTGGTTTGAGGTAGTTCCCTTTATAAACAACACACTGTGTATTTGTGTACAGTGCACTGACTGGCACAAAAAGCAGTTGCAGTGGGGAAGGTGCCAACCAACAATGGAAAATTCAGTTAACCCTAGCAACTAATACCCACACTAACTTATCTCTGCCTTTTAAAGAGCAGTAATAAAATGACTGCTATACTGAGCAAATCAACATTGTAAAAAATCTTTTGTAAACTGTTGATTTCCCCCCTCATCTGTTCTATTAGAAAGAAGAATTAAGGTGAGCTGTTTTTTGCTGCTAATGTTAAGAGTTAGCTAAGCTTTGCATTTCTGGGTTCTGTTTTGTTGAGTTTGTGGCAGACGTATATAACAAGATTTCATAATTCATATTAACATTTTTGCATTTAGGAATGGCATGTTTTAGCTTCCATGGAGATTACAATCTTCTGTGTTTGAAAACAGTTCCAGGAGACCTTTCTTCTCGTATGTGATCTTCTGAAGTTCTGGAACATGTACCAAAAGTAATTTCCAGGGCCAGCTTGATCATATAGGTGGACTAGATTGTGGCCAGAGTTGTGCATACCCTAGTAGAAAGAGAGCATGTATTTTGGCTCCACTACTCCTTTAGTCCTGACTTTCTCACCATACCAAAAGGGTGTCCAAAAACCTCACTGGGGTGGGGTGAGTTTCTGGGGAAGATTCAGTTCACATGGGAAGCTCATCACTATGGGAACATCTCTTACATTGCTTCTACTATGGTGGGTTCCTATACACAAGCTGAGAGCCAACCTACTCGTGACACTGGAGATCCATGAGTAGCTCCCCCAATATGTAATTTAGCCTGAAAAAAGCAGCGTGGGTGGGTGGATGGGTTGGTGGATCAAGGCCATGGCAATAGTGTTGGCAATCAGACCCCTCCTCCCACTGAGGGGCAGTTTGTAGCCTAAAGAGGCAGAAACACCCCTCTGTACATCACCCTAATACCCTAACTGCAGGGCACTGCTTGGGCCAAAGTGAACCAAGATAGATGCCACACAGGCAGAGGCCTAGGAAAGACATTTCAAGGTGCTAGTCAGAGCGACTGGCTGGCTACTGCCCCCTCCCTGCCCTGGAGAGATGCACGATTTAAAATAATGGATCACCCATCGATTCACCTAGAATAATCCCTTCAGCACCCAAGCCTGACTTCCTGTTCACCCATTACCCTTGATTAAGTAGCAATTAAGTCTATTCACCTCCCCAGTCACACTTTCTGCCTGATGCTTGTAGGGCCATCAAACCTCTCCCACCTCTTTGTCTACCTCCAGTAAGACCATCAGCCCATTGGTGGTGAGTCAACCTGCCTCAGGATATGTTTTCCCTATAAATATGTCATGCTGCTGCCCCAGCAGTGTGTGTGTGTGTTCTTGGATCCCCCTCACACCCCAACTTGCACATGAGTCTCCTCTGTTGCTTCTGGCAACACTGGCCATTTTCCTCTTCAACTTGCTGCTTCCATGTACCTCTTTAAGACCAGTAATTATCACCCATCCCTATAACGCTCTCCCTTTTTCCTCCCTAATCTTCCAAGGTCCAATCTGCATTGGTATTTCCCACTGTTGTGTAAATGATCTCACATTGTCTCACAAATTTGTGTCTGCATTTCATGCCGCATCCACTCTCATATTGTTTCAACTCACCATCGGCTGTCTGCATCATTTTATTGCCATTTAGTGGTGACTCTGAGGTCACTATGGTGTCTCACCGCCTTATCTGAATGTGGTTTTAAGGTAGTACAACTGCTCCTCCCCACCGTCGAGCCGCTGTGAGCAAAAAGCAGACAACTGGAACTGAATCTCCCCCCCATCTTTTCTAAGGAGATGCGCAAATTGTCACAAAGGAAACAAGTTAGCTGAAAATCCAATCGTCTGCAAAGCACCCAGGGAACATTTTTCTGGGACTTGGGGGGGGGGGGGTTTGGAAGCACGCCCACCCCTGAACCATTTGTTATTTCCTGGGGCAGTCTCCAGAACACCTTGCCTGGCAACTGCTGGGTGTTTTGTGTTTTTTACCCAGCTCGTTCCGTCTTTCCTGACCCCCCCTCTGCCTCCACCTCTGCCTTTTACTTTCGGGGGCGTGTGTCGCAGGTGCCGTTTCCTCCCCGAACTGCAGCGCAGCACCCTGCCGGTGCCCCTGGGAAGCCACTCCTCCCCCTTTCTCGCATGCTCTCCCTAAACACCTTGCGTCCTGATGCAGACAGAGGAGAGCTTTATACTGAGCCAAATGGAAGCCAGTGCCACAGCAGTGCGTAACAGCTTTACATAGCAAATGCAGATTGGGCCTAGTTAGCTCTTGTAAGTGTTTGCTGTGTACATCCTTGTTCTCAGTGGAGGGTGGTAAGCAGTGGGGTACCGCAGGGATCAGTACTTGGTCCACTGCTTTTTAACTTGTTCATTAATGATTTGGAGATGGGAGTAAGCAGTGAAGTGGCTAAATTTGCGGATGATACGAAGTTGTTCAGGGTGGTGAAAACCAGTGAGGATTGTGAGGCACTCCAAAGGGATCTGTCAAAGTTGGGCGAGTGGGCGTCAACATGGCAAATGGGGTTCAATGTGGCCAAGTGCAAGGTGATGCACATTGGAGCCAAAAATCCTAAATATAAATACACGTTGATGGGGTCTGAACTGGCAGAGACTGATCAAGAGAGAGATCTTGGAGTTGTAGTAGATAACTCACTGAAAATGTCGAGACAGTGTGTGACTGCAATAAAGAAGGCCAATGCTATGCTGGGGATTATTAGGAAGGGTATTGTAAACAGATCAGCCAATATCATAATGCCCCTATATAAATCAATGGTGAGACCTCATTTGGAATACTGTGTGCAATTCTGGTCACCACACCTTAA